GAAGAGACCAAGCTATTTCAAGTAGATGTCTATTCTTCCTCTCAGCTACCCCATTTTGCTGAGGAGTGTGGGCACAAGAGGTCTGGTGAATTATACCATGTTGTTCTAGGTATTGCTGAAAGGAAGAAAGAAAATACTCTCTACCATTGTCAGAACGAAGAATTTTAAGTGAAACACCAAATTGTGTACGCACTTCAGCATGAAACTTTTGGAAAATGGAAAATAATTCACTTCTTTCTTTCATTAAATAAAGCCATGTCATTCTGGAACAATCATCAACAAAAATTACAAAATATTTGTAACCATTGTACGATTCAATTCTAATTGGATCCCAAACATCCGAATGAACTAACTCAAAAGGACTCAACATACGGCTATCAACTCTAGGACTGAAGGAAACCTGGTGGTGTTTCCCATACTGACACGACTCACACTGCAAAAATGACAGACTACTCAATGATGGAATAAGAAGCTTAAGAGATTTAAGAGAGGGATGGATGAGTCTACAATGCCACTGAAGGGGAGTTAAGGAGGTTTGAAGCACAATTGTAGAGCCTCCACTATCAAGATAATACAATCCGCCAGCTTCATACCCTCCACCAATCTTCTTCCCTGTCGTTAGATCCTGAAAAACACAAGATGAAGGGTAAAATGTGATAGAACAATTGAGAGGTTTGGTTAGTTTGCTAACAGACATAAGATTAAAAGGAAACTTTGGAACATATAAGACAGAAGACAAAGGTAGAGATGCAGTGGTAACATTACAAACACCGTAGATAAGGGAAGTAGATCCATTAGCAAGGGTAACATTATTTGATGTAGAGGTTGGAGAAAGGGAGAAAAACACACTTGGAGTCCCGGTCATGTGATTAGAGGCTCCAAAGTCAATTATCCAGGGTGAGGATTTGGATGCTAGGCAAGCTATACCTGAATGAGCAAGGGTGGCAGTGTTCTGATGTGCAGTGGCCTGAAGAAATCTCTCATACTCCTCTCTGGGAATACTCATCATTCCCTCCCAGAAGTAGTTGTGACTATAGAAGATACTGGATCATCTGGTTGAGTATCACCGACTTCACTACCACCAACAGCTGCATGATTAGCCCATGTGGATGGTGGACCATGTAAATCATAACAAAAATCGTGTCCTTCTCTTCCACAGTGTGTGCACTTTCTTGTTCTGCTCCCCCTTCCTCTGCCACGACCTCCCCCTGAATCACGACCTCCTCCACTGGTACGACCACCCATAGGATTACTGCGGCCCCCCTTAACTGTACGGCCACCTCCTCTCTGCCCATAAGAACCACCTTGAGTACTAACCAGTGCTGATCTTTCTGAAGTTGTGTTACTCTCTGAGGGGCTAAGAGAAATCCTACGGAGACGGGCAAACACTTCTTTGAGAGTCGAGAGAGCAGATCCTCCCAATATCTGTGCCCTGACCGGTTCATACTCTGCTTTCAGTCCCACCAAGAACCGTGTAACATTAAGTTGTTCCCTTTGTTGTTGCTGAAGTTTAACGTCTGAGGTTAAGGGATGATAGACATTAAGTTCATTCTGAAGATTTTTCATGTTGGCATAATATTCTTCAAGAGTCTAATTTCCCTGCTGCAAATTGAAGTATTCTTGATAAAGCTAATAAACCCTTGTAGTGTTGTCTTGTCCCGAATAAAGTTTCTTCACATGTTCCCAAATATCCCTCGCTATATCTAAAAACATGAAGTTAACACAGATTTTTGGCTCCATACTGTTCCACAACCATGTCATGATCTGAGCATCCTCTTGCTCCCAATCACTAAACCTCAGGGATTCAGCACTCGGTTTCTCCTCCCGTACATGTTTCACTTTCTTCTTGACCTTCAGAAACACTTCCACCGACTTGGCCCACGGAACATAGTTTTCACCGTTGAGTTTGATGGATGTCATTTGTACACTTAAAAAATCAGGAGATATCATCACACTCGATTTCTGGTCACCACTTGACTCACCAATTGATGCTGTAGCACTCTACGAAGCTGGTCACAAAAACAAATTTCAGCTACTGCACTACTGTCCTTCTACTTCCACACCAACACACTTAAAAGTCACCACTAGCCTACCCTAGCATGCATTCGGCCACTGTGAACACCACTAATCTACGCACTGGCAGATTTAAAAACGCCCAGAATCACTCTTGAAATTGCTCATTAGAGAGCAGACCACAACCACTACACCCACTCGACCACCACAGCTGTCACATATAGTGACAGCAGTCCTCAGACAGACAAAACCTTGGATTTCTTGTTCACTTGAACTGCTGTAGTTGCCTACTGTCACCAGAACCAGAAATCTGGGTTACTTCACAGTCCTTTAACCCAGATTTCTCACACCATAAAAAAAAAGGTTGCTGCAGAACCCTTACTGTCGTGAAACCTTAGGTATTGCCGCAGAAATAGAAACCCTAATATCACAAACTACTAGATGTTGCCACAGGTACCTGGGTTCCTTCTTCTCTAACCCAGATTTCTCACGCCCAGAAAAAAAAAAAAAAAAAAAAAAAAAAAAAAAAAAAACGAAAATGAAGGAGAAGACAGAAGGTTGCAGTCAGCTTCTAATACTGGCGCTCTGATACCACAAAAGTGTTCAGCCAAACAGAGAAGAGGAGAGAGAGAAAGAAGAAAGAAGAAGAGGGAGAGAAAGTGTCGAACTGGTTAGACTCTTCATCTAACCCAGTCAACCATATACTTGCATTTGAAAATATAAGATGCAAAAGACTGAAATGCCCCTGCACGTGAGGAGACATACAGCCAACATAATACATAAAGTGAAAAGATGAAAATACCCTTTTCTAACTGACTCTAACACATACTAATGTGTGGGGACCATACCATGTTCCTTCTATGGGTGGCTACCGATATTTTCTTTTATTTGTGGATGATTTTTTTCGGAGAGAACTATTAAGGGGGAGTGACGTAATCTTAATTATGTGCCGCAAGGGCACTTATGTCTTTTCATTTATTTTTTTATTTCTTATGTTGTCGCCCTAATATTTAAATAAAAAGTCTGGCGCCGCCAGAATATATCATTCGATCTCCATCTTCTCTTCTCTTCCTTCTCTTCTTCTTTCTTCTTCTTCTTCTTCTTCTCTTCTCTTCTCTTCTCTTCTCTTCTCTTCTCTTCTCTTCTCTTCTTCACTGTTGAATGAAATCAGAAGATTTTCAATTTTCTAATCCCCAAACCTCCTTTTGTCTTTTGGCAAGCACACCTGGTCCCAGTTGACAAGATGAAGCTAGTAGTTAGCAGGTTGTGATTGCCAGAAATGAGGAGGTTTTTCAGGGTTTATGTTTAGTTTTCAGATATAAAGAATAGGGCTTCGATCTGGTCTCTTGTTGTTGTCGATATATTGTGTGGTGAGCCTTGTTATTTAGGATTTTATCTTGTGTTTTAGCCATATCCCCGTCCTTATTTATTCATTTAGTATGAAAGCCACTCAATGCCATTGATGTAGGAGTAGGACAGGGAAGGGGTAACCTATAAATTAAGTATGCTAAACTGCAATTGCAGGTATTTATCCACTGGATTTCTTATTCTTCCATGCTTGCATCACCTTTATAGCTTTTTCGTCTATCTTTTCTAGATGTTACTTCTCAGAGAACCATTCAACCTAAAAGCTTAAGCTATTAAGTGAGGTCCTTGAATAGGTTTTATTCTCTAACATGCCCCCTCACACGAGGGCCCATTGGGCTTGAAGCGTGGACAGCACAGGCCCACCCATACCTTGTGCTGAAACTTAATTAGTTATAATGGGGGTAGCGAGAATCAAAAACTGGACCACTTGGTCAAAGTGGCTTTGATACCATCTCGGAGAACCATTCAACCTAAAAGCTTGAGCTATTAAGTGAGGTCCTTGAATAGGTCTTATTCTCTAACATTACTCTAAATCATGAATAAATTCCAGCTTTATCATTGAGTAGTTATAATTGCTAATATAATCCTTTTATGTGAAGATATGAAAAGAAAAGCGGTGCCCCTTATCATGTACTCCTATACTCCTAATATTGTGCTTCAATCTGGTATCAATGTCATATGGCAATAATTTCTAGATGAAAATGATAGAAGAGCAAGTTCATAACAGCAGATTTTCAACTTCTCAAATTGAATTTTGCTTTTTCAAAAAAAAAAAAAATCCATAGGATAGTAGGATAAGAAATCCACCAAGAGAGAGCCTTAAAAATTGGAAATACTACACAAGTCAAATGCCAGCATGCAGTCATGGTATGCATGAAATGGAGTTTACACAAAAGATACATGAAGTTAATTCTTGAGAGGGAATGGAACAAGTATGGTCTTCCCCTATTGGGAAGTGTTAGTAAACCAAAACTGGGGTTATTTTCCATGCACTATATTAGAGTGGTTTATGAATGTCTATGTGGTGGACTTGAAGGATGGTGCAATAATGGCTAATCTACAAGGTACAAGCTGAAACAGGGAATTTAATGCTGCTACAGGTACATAGATCAAAATGGTTGTATTTTCCACGAGAGTAGAGTGAAAACTGGTAGAGGAATAAGGTTGTTATTCCAGGCATTGTAAATCTTGGTTTCATGCTTCTTAGAGCATGAAATAGGTATGGAAAGAACTTGGGTATTAAAATGAATGGATGGAAAAACTAGGCAGAATAGGATCAGAGTAAGATCAACCGATGATAGGATAAGGGGACATTGGCTGAGATGGTTTACTCCTTTGAAATGAATGCCAATGAATGCACCAGTAAGGATTGATTTGATGTAAATTGAAGGCTCTAAAAGGACATGTGTTTCTTGAAATCATAGGCTCTCTTGGTTCTTCTCAAGTTTAAAGAACCTCTTCATAACCCAAATGCTTTTTTTTTTTTCTTGAAAACCTAAAATCCATCTAGTCCTGTAGCATATCTTTCTGCAGATGGTTGTCATTTAGAACCCACTTATATACATTGTTTCAGATCTGCAAACTACATTTAACTTAATATTTTTAAAATTTTCAAACAGGGAACCGATGCATTCTCACAGTCAGGTCTATATTCCAACCATCAAGACATTGGCCCTAGATACTCTGTGAGTATTATTTTTCTAAATATGAACTCATTTTCTTATAATATTCTCTTGTTATGTGGGTTATATGTTGATTCACATATCCAGAAAATTGTGGGCCTAAACTTGATATCATCATGCTAACTATGGATATGCTTTCAAGGATGCTTGAGCCTGCACCAAGTATAATGGCACCAATGCCTCTATTTCATCGTTCTATTTATGGAATGAGAACTAATGTACTTTTATTTACACAGGGAGTACTGCTTGGTTTATCCAACACTGCTGGAGTGCTGGCTGGTGTCCTGGGTACTGCTGCAACTGGTTACATCTTGCAACATGGTTTGTTCATATCCCTCAGTTCTCTCTCTCTCTCTCTCTAATGATGGAAATAGTTTGTCATGTTAACATTTTTCGCTTGGGTCAATTTGTTGAGGAAGTCTAGGGTCTATGTCAGGTTACATTCTGGGTGCCATGGCCAGCACCTCTTGCAGACCTGATGATTTGAGTCAACATGACCTCTCTGTCACTCTTGCTAAGGGTGTGCCAGATATACTGTGAATAGTACAATTATTCACTCATTCTGCTATAAAGAAAATCAACCTGATTTTCATACGAGATTTCTTTGAACTCTCATTTTGTTGTCTGTAGAATAAAATGCATGAATTGAATTATAATCTCTTAAATCTAGTTGGTATTTGGCTCAGGATATCTCTTAGGTGGCACTGGTTGAATGATTGGGCTTAACCCTGTCAATTGTTCATACCCTTCTTAATTTATGGGGTTTTGACATCTTTGGCTTATCTTTCACTATTTCGCTTTCTTATTAGTATCATTTTTCTCTTGCTTGTCATTTTTCAGGTTCCTGGGATGATGTCTTCAAGGTTTCAGTAGGACTCTATCTTGTTGGAACTGTTGTCTGGAGTCTCTTCTCAACGGGCGAGAAAATCCTGGACTAAACATCAGGCCAATTGATCATGTTACATAGCAGCCTATGTCCTTACATTTGACTTGAAAAACTAAGAAAAGAAAGAAGAAAAGGATCAAACCGAAGCAATTAAGCAAGGAGAAACTTAAATGTGGCAGAGAGGGGAGTTTCTTGAAAGGCTAGTGGTATGCCTGGAATCACAAAATGGAGGCTCAAGGACTACATTACACATTAAAAAGGCCATAATCAAACACGTCAGACTCCATGTTTTATTTGTAATGAAGGGAGCTCCCATATCTTCACAATTTAGTTCGGTTGGTGTGGAGGTGATAGCATATCATCTTTATTCTTCCAGATATTCAATGGAGCAAGGATGCATGTGTGACAGCCTCAACAATTTGGCGGGAATGTATATTGGATACTAACTCTAGTCAATTTTGTAATTATGTAATATATTTATTTTAATTTTTATGCATCACAATGTCCTTCCCTTGCAATTTTTTTGTGTTTAAGCACAAGGTAAAAAGTATTGATATGTAAGTGTGTATCTATGTATACTATATTATAAAGCGATTAGGTCCCACGTCAGCAGTTCTCTCCTCTCTTCTCTCCTTAAACCTCTCTCTTTTCTCCCTTACCCCTTCTTAGCCCTTCCATGTAGCCATGTTGTCACGGGGGTAGTCAATGTGGCAGCTCTCTCTTCTGCATTAGAGTGCCACTCCAAATCTCTCTCTCATGTCCTCAATCACTGAGACAACCCCTTCCTAAAATTTCTCCTAAAATCTCTCTCCCACCTAAAATTCTTCCTAAAACACCTCTTAATCTATATTGCCACGTGGCAGCTCTCCTTATTCACCAAGTTCCACTCCATCTCTCTCTCTCTCTCTCTCTTTCTCTCTCTCTCTCACGTTACCAATTGACTCAACCCCCTCCTAAAATTTCTCCTAAACAATCTCTTCCATCTAAAATTCCTCCTAAAACACCTCTTAATCTATATTATAAACCATCTAAAATAAAAAAACGTGGGTAAATTAATTTGGGTAAAATTAATTTATGAAATATTTTTTTATATTTTCAATAATTACTAATATTATTTAGTAAATATCAACACCTAAATTATAATTTTTCGTAATTTTGGTAAATTGAAAGTTTTAATTACTAAGAATTACTTGCTAAAAATTACTGATTTGGTAATTTAATTTCAATTTTTTTTGAAAAATAATTATTGAAATCAGTAATTACTAAAAATTAATAATTTATTAAAATATTAATACATACAAATTTAATAATTAAAAATTAATAGTAGTTTTTAGTAATAAGTAGCTATTGATATTTTCAGTAATTTTGGTCAATTTATTAATATTTAATGAGATTATCAAACAATAATTAAAATTTTTTAGTGGAAAATTAATTTCAATAAATACAAATTTATTTTTTATATTTTCAGTCATTTTGATATTTACTATAATTTTTGAGCAATAATTAGTGATTTTGTTAATTTAGTGAAACTTAAATTATAAAACTTCCAATTTTTCACATAAATAATTGGAAAATTTTAATAATTTCCAAAGTATTGAATACTACATTTATAATACCGTAATTAATGGAACTATATTTATGGGGTTGGGGGTGTTATAGGTTCAGGGGATGGCCCCAAGGTAGGGGTGATCATGGGTCGGGTCGGGCCGGACCCGAGCTGGGCTTTGCACTTATGATAAAGGCTATACCTTAGGCTTGGGCCCAACCCGGCCCGAGGTTCTGGGCCTATAACGTAAGCCCTAGCCCAAGTCTACACGGGCCTGGGCTGAGCCGGGCCTGATTCTGGGCTAATGTCTTTCATATATAAAATATTACATATCTATAATATTTTATATTAGATGACATCACACGCATATATACCAATTCAAGGGGGATGTAATGTGTTAGGTGAGGGTATTGGAAGCCTTGAATTATTATAAATGTCGGAGTAAAAATTTATGGGGTAGGTTCAATCAAAATTTCCCTCAACTATATTAATATTTTGCATCTTGCTTTTCAGCAGTTATCAAAATTCAATAGGGTCTCGATGTGGAGGCGGTAGTTAAAACAAGATCCGAGTCTTTATAGCTGAAATTAAATCTTGCTGCTAATGGTAAATTTGAATTTGCTAAGGAGATTGTATCTTAATTCCTAAATAAGTTTAAAATATCAATATAATACTTATGATACTAGGTATGTTGTATTAGTATCTAAAGGGAACAATATAATATATAGATAGAAATGTGGAATGGTTCAATTTGCACCATTATTTCCATATCAGTTCCATATTGGTTTGTGTTGGTCCATATTAGTTGGTATTTAACCCATACATAGGTATGTAGTATACATGTACACAGGGTGGGCCAGGCAAGCCCTCATTTCAAGCCTGAATCTCAACCTGAAAATTGGTCATGAAGAAAATTTTATTTGTTACTTAAAAACAAGATCGACTTATTTATATTAAACTACCTGAGAATTCAAAAATACTGAAAGATTTCAAGAAAAGAAAAGAGAAACAAAGAAAAAAAATGTAAAATATATATTTTATTATATAAAATATTATTGGACTGGACTTGGGTTTGAGAAAGCCCAAACCTGACCCAAAAAAGGCTGGGCCTAGTGTTTTGGAAACTAAGCCCAAGCCACAGGCCTAAAAATAATGTCCACGCTTGAGAAACAACAAGCCAGCCCAGTCCGACCTGACCCACGAACAGGCCTAGTATGTATCACATATCAATCTGGGTCTCCTACCCACAAGAATCCTACCCACAGGATACTATAGCTGTACATTAGGAGCATCTCCTCATGAATGGTAACATGAAAATACGAAAGATGTTCTCAACGTACAACTGTAGTATCCTGTGCTAGGTGTGGGTAGGAGATCCGAGCTCTTAGTTATGATATTAATTGTGTTAATTGTTGTTTTTTTGGATTCAAAATTCAAATTAAGCCTAGTAATTTCCATCATTAATGCCATTAATTGTGGATTTTCAAATAAATAATTAAAATAACATACATTTAATTTTTGGATATTATCTAAAACTCACCTTGACTCTTTTACATTTCTCTTAAACTCACCATTACTTTTCAAAACCTCCAGTGAGCCCCCTATCAATAAGTTTTATTATCCAAAACTCACCTTCCATTAGATTTCTGTTAAGTCACCATTAGTGACCATTAATAGAAGTTATCCACGTAAGCATTTAAGCATTTTACATGACCAAACTACCCTTAAAATGGCTAGTCAACCTTATTTTAAATATATGCGGATTGGGTCAGGCCTAGGCTAGCTTGAAATATCAGGCCCAAGCATGATTCTAAGATTTGCAGGCCTAGTGTGGGTCGGGGCCCAGGTCAGAGATCATTCTGTCATTAAAAAATAAATAAATAAATAAATATTTAACAAGCTTGATTGACCATTTAGGAGTAATTTGGTCATGCAAAATACTTAAGTGCTTATGTGGACAATTTTTATTAATGGTTGCCAACAGTGATCCAAGGAAATCTTATCAGAATGTTAGTTTTGGACAATAAAACTCACTGGCATGGGGCTTTCTAGAGGCTTTGAAAAGTCATGATGAATTTAAGAGAAATGTGAAAAAAGTCGTGCTATATTTAAATGTTTAAAATGATCATTACTTTCACTATTTTATATAAGGGTTCGACTATGATACTAGAAAGACATGACATTGGAAAAACTTGTGACCGACCAATTGATATAATAAACATGGTAACCAATCAGGTGATATTTATCCAAATTCATGGTGAATTTTGATTGGTCAAAGTTCTTCCAGTATCATATATTTCTGACATCATAGATTTCCCTTTATAAAAAGTTATATAATATGCATTTCCAAACCTTAATCTAATGCTATAAATATATTTATGAGATTTATTGGAATTTTTATGTACCCAAGGTGTATTAGAATATACTTCCTAAAAAAGTGTAATAGAATATATATCCATATTCAAGCTTAAGAATACAATACACAATCAGTTGCGTATCATTTTAGGCACAACCCTATCAACCTTCCCCGAAATCCGATTACCCACATCATCCAATCTATAGTATACTCCAAGCAAGAGAGACGGAGACCATGTAATTGAATTGCCTTGAACTGAAGCATCAAAAGAGCCAAACTTTGATTCCCACCATGCATCGATCTTTAATCCAAATAAAACCCTCCACTTTCCATGGTCCAGAATAAAGCCCTCCACTGTCCAAGGTCATCTCTCCAAGACCAAGACTATCTCACACAAATATCATGTTCAAAGAAATAGGCAAGAATACAACAGTAAAATTAATATCACAAACTTTGGGAATTAAATACTTTTTTAAATACTCTTGTTGGATGGATAGAACATTAATTTATCAAAGATTTTTCCCAGCATACATGTCTCCCACTTAGTACGATCAGTCCTCTGTAATTCTTCCTCTAATCCATCTCTTCCCAAAGCTTTGAAACCATCTGCCAATCCATCAGCATGACCCTCCACTAGTCTGTTGCCATACCACGTACGATTATGGGGATCCCCGTTGATGACTCTTGTTGCTTCTCTGGTGGTGAAGAAGAGAATTGAATAGTGAGCATATCTTTTTTAAATGCTCTTTTGCAAAACAAGAAGTCTAGATTACCATTGACTCTCTTGTAGTGGATTAGAGCTTTGGAGGCTTCAATTTATGATTGGTGGTCAAATCTTCGCAAGGCAATGGAGATAAAATGATTTATGAGAAATACAGCTTCATCCTTTGGTATCTTTGAAAAAATAGAAATGATATAGTCTTAGAAGAGAGAACGGGGCTTGCTTGTATAGCAGAAATCATTGTGGGAAAGTTTTGGATGCCAAAGCTTCCTTTATTGGTTTGGTTTCACAACGATTCATGTTGTTGAAGCTTGGGCGGTTTGGGAAGCCCATAATATGACTCAAAATTGAAAAAAAAAAAAAAAAATCCATATATTTTGAAATTGACTCGTTCTAAGTGTATTGAAATTCCATGTTCGACGGTGGATGATAATTTGGATCGTAGTATCATCTTGTATGTCCACGGTCCACCCCTTGAGAGAAGGAAATATAGTTTCACACTGATTAGCAGCAGCGCATGAAACTCTTTTCTCATCATTTTTCCTTTTTATATTTCTTCATCTCAGTTGGAATTTGTTGATTATCCGATCCGTAGAGATGATTCCTGGGGGCCGAGCTACTCCGGTCTTGTGTAGTTCTTAGAAAAAACATAAAAGATCCAAATGCAAGCAAAAACACAAGAAGGTTTATTTTATAATATAAATGTAAGACGACGTAGACCCACAACAGTCTCATGTGCAAATGGAATGACCAAAATATATAGTCCGTAATATAGCTTGGACCGTGGAAAAGGAAGATTAACAAACAAACTAAAACACAAACAAATCATAACTACATATTTGCAGAAAACATGACCAAATCTCCACTGCGACCGAAAGAAATTGTAGCATCTAGGCAGTAGAGTACGTACACGCTCATGCCTCCCTCAGTCACTGACCCAGATTCCGTGGATGCACGTACACGCGTAGCCCATTCTTCATGAACAGCGTCAGCGACATCTTCTGCTCTACTCGGTGGCCGGGAACCAGCGACAGCCGGTGTCGAAGCAGCACGGCCGCAGCCACCGACTTCATCTGCAGGTAAGCCAGATCCTTTCCTAGGCATGTTCTTGGACCAGCGTTGAAGGCGATGAACTTGTATCCTTCCTTTGGCGATTCGAACCGGTCTCCCTCTGCCGACAGCCACCTTTCGGGACGGAATTCCATGCAATCCTCCCCCCATATCGTTTTCATCCTTCCCACCGAATAAATCGAGTACGTAATTGTTGAACCAGCCGGCACGACTGTGCCATCCGGTAACACATCGTCCGACACAACGTACTTGAAGTCCTCCGGCACAGACGGGAACAAACGGAGTGTCTCAGCCAGAGCTGCTTTCAGATAGACTAGCTGATCGACTTCGTCGAACCCTAACGGTTCTTCCACCCATTTACGTTGATCTTCACCGCGTGTCTTCTTAAGAACCGATGATATCTCGTCGATGATTCTCTTCTCCACTCGTGGGTGATTCATAACGAGCCAAAAGAACCAACTCAGTGCAACTGACGACGTGTCTCGACCGGCGAGAACGAAATTTAGAGCGATTCGACGGAGAACAGAGCTCGGAAAGAGGTGCCCTTCCAGGTCTCTCTTCTTAATGAAGCGCGACAACAGGTCATCAGAAGGCGATTCCTTGCGCGCTTCAATAGCATCTGTTATGTACTTCTCGACAATTGTTAGGCTCTTCTTCAAAGTACTCTCCGCTCCGAGTCCCAAAGCCTTCTTTATTCTCCATAAGAAGCTCGGGTAGAGTAGCCGCTGAAGAGTCGCTTCAGTGGCCGAGTCGAACGCGATGGCGAATGAGTTCTCAGCTAATTCGAGCGAAAGTGTCTCTGGGTCCTTACCAAACGTGAGTCCACATATGTTATCGAATGTCAAACGGAGAAGTAAGTCCTGCAAATCCACCGAGGATCTCTGGGCTTCAGCTTTGGCTAAGATACTCCAGAGACGCAACCTAATAGTCCGGTTGACCCAGCGAGCCATTGCTTGCCGAAGGGTCCTTGTCGTGAACTCGAGAGCAGCTGTCTTCCGCTGAATGAGCCATGTATCACCATCACTGTTGAAGATGCCCTGGCCTAACAGATCGTGGAAGGCTTCTTGCCAGGTTGGGCCTTTGGGGTAGTTATCGAATCGGGTTTTGAGTACGTATTCGATGTTCTTGGGGTGACAGGTTACAGTGAAGAAGCCCTGTTTACGAGCAACGAAAGGCAGAGCAAGGGTGCAAGTCTGGTATGTTGCAGTGCCACCGGTTTGTCGGAGGTTCTGGGCTATCCAGTCGTGAACTCGTGATCGGTTGGCGATCAGATAAGGCAGACTCCCGACGATCGGCCAGACTTTGGGACCGGTCAGCTTACGGGCTAAGACGTTAAACCAGAGGAAGTAAGCTGATGTGATGGCTGCCGCGAGGAAGAAGGCAAGCAAGGTTTCCATTCTAAGGGATGGGTTAGTGGTAGAACAGACAGGAATGATACGGAGAGTGACTGAAGAAGAGTGGATGAAATTTATATATATATATACATAAGATAGATAGACACATCTAATATATATTTAAATTAAATGCAAGATTTGCTGAGAGAAATTTAGGTAAAGTTGTTGAGAAAAATTAGTGAAACAAGGTCTCGGTAGTGGCTGTGGGTTGACGTTGTTGCATTCATAATCACACATACACGAAAGCTATTTGCTTTTGTGACCTTTTTCCCTTTCTTGCTTGACTAATTCGCTGACTCTCTAAGAGAGAGAGAAAGTGTGTGCGGTAGAGAGAGAGAGAGAGTGGTTAGAAATTGTTTACCCATATTGAGAAACTAAGAACTGTTAGAGAGAATATCATGAAAACCTGCAGAAGTATTGGCATGTTGAAAAGAAATAGAAAGCAAAAAGGGTGACTGACAGACACAGTGATAGAGTAGGGCAAAGCTGCAAGTTTTGATAATCTAACTCCAGGGTGAAGAACTTTTTAAAGAATACAAGTTCTTGTTGCGCCTGTGATTCTGTGAAGATATCGATGACACCAGGGATCCCGATCTTTTAAGAAAAAGTGCTGAATCAGAGATAGCTCACTTTGGTTTGGCTGCTTCGGTTGAAGTTAGGACAAGTGGCACCTACGTAAATATATTTATGGTGGCAGCAGATGCTGTCTCGCTCCACCCAGGCTGCAATACAAGTGAACTTTGTACGAGATCAGAAAACCGTTAATTCCCCACTGCCCGAAAGTCTGAAACCGATGAAAGAGAGTCCATTGTTTCTACTGAAAGAGACGGGATACTAACTACGTACGTTCAGTTAGCACTTGAAAAATAATAATATTAGGGACAAGTAGACTGAACAGTAAAAAACCCTAAATAATGTTAAAAATGGTTAATTCCATTTTAGTACCCTGAAATTTGGGATGGTATTAAGTTAGTACCTAAACTTTTTATATCACTGATTCACTGTAATATCTAAATTATCAAAAAGTGTTAAGCTAGTCCCAAGGATTAACAATCCTCAGTTATTTGATCACGTACTGATATGATATGTATAACTTAAAATTTTTTAAATATCAAAACTATGAGATTATTCATTATCTTCTATCTATTGAACCCGTTGAGGTATTTAATATCTTAAACTCAGCCCGAATTCCTCCTTCCCCATCCTCTTCTCAATATATTGTTCTCTCATCTCTCTCTCCCTCTCTCTCATTGTCTCTATCTCTCCACCATCACGAAATCTATTATTCACCTTCTTCGAGCTCTTGACATAGCGAACAAGCGACGGCAGCAAGTTCTGGCCCCAAACTCCTTCAGATACTTGACGTCGTTATCTTTTACCTCAATAGATAGACCTTTTTGACAATCTGCTGCTGGTGCTTTAAAGGCATCCTCGCTCAAAACCGAGTTTGGCGTGAAGATGGCAGAAGGAACGACTATACACGTCCGAGTTCTCTGATAAAAAGTAGTTTCAATGGGCTTACTGGAAGTAGACTTTAGGTACCCGAACTGGTTGAGCTTGTCAGAAGAAGGTAGGGAGACGGAAGATAACGCCCTTCTGGAAGGTTCTAGTAATGGGATTTGGTAAAGAAACGAGACACCTAAAATGAAAGTCATGGCTGTATTTTCCTTTTAAATATGACGAATTTGGTTCACTAACTAAATAAATCCTCCTTCCCCTTGCTAAAAGTTTTGTTTGGACACTACTGAAACTGGAGTTCAGAAAGGAAGTTGGTTTAGTGAGATGGGAAATGAGAAACGAGGAAATTTGTTGGGTAGAATGGGAGTTGAGAATGAAAGGATGATAAGCGGTTGGGGAGGTGCGGATATATGAATTAGCGTGGCGGTGTTAGCGCCGGTGAGGAGGGAAAGGGAGACGAGCAGGGATTTGATAAGGCCAGCACTCAAAGTATGGCCTTACGAACCTCCACCTCGGTTGCCTTCTCTAATAGATATATGCCAGGATTTTAATTTGGGAAAATTCCACTTAATTCTTTTCATTTTTATCATTTTCCTGCTTCCCTCCATCTTTCCACCTTCCCCTGAGGAGAGGCACTATTCATTGTCGTCCTCTGTAGAACAGAAGACATTTGCGGTGGCAGTGCCCGCAGTGTTCATTTTTCAGATTGTTTCTCATCGCCTAGCAACGTCTTCATCATCTCTTACCATCTCTCTGTCTCGACATTAGAATCCAACCTTCCCGTCACTAACTGAATTGAATCCTTTTCTTTTCCTGGGAACCAACTGAATTACCAATCATAAGAAAATTAGATGATATGTTAAGGGCATTTCTTTTACATGACACTTAACGTTGGTTAACAGTTTTGGACTACCTTACACTTTTTAAAAATTTGGATACTATTTTATTACGTTTAAAAGTTCAAGTGCTAACTTGACATTACCCCCAAAGTCCAAGGACTAAATCTTACAACGTTGTGCTTATTTGATCCCGACCGATACTGAAATAAATTGTCATTAACATTTAAAAAATTAATTAGGACATGTGGTAAATATGTATTTGTTCACCTATTTAGGGTTTGTTCACCTATTAAATATGCTCATAATCTATAACTGTTTTGAATTGTGAACAAATTGTGTGGACTTGACCGGTGCACACCTATAGTGGTGTTTTATAGAACTTTTAATTCCATGTATCTCATATACAGTTTACAAAGTGATCTACACAATCGATCATAAATGTTTAATTTTTGCATTTTATATGATAAATAAATTGAAAAGGCATCGATTATTAAAACAATAAATATTAATTTTAATAAAAAGATAGTAAAATAATTAAAAATAATAATTATTATTTTATTGATAAAAACATTAAAAATAATATTTAGATAAATAAAAAAGAGTGGAGAAAGAGCACCACTGGGCTTGTGCTATAATTAACATTAAAAAATATTATTTTATTGACAAAAATATTAAAAAATAACATTACAAATTATTATTTAAAAATTAAAAATTAAAAATAAAAAAATATATATATAGAAAAGATGTATTGTATTAAAATAGAATATAAAAATGTTGTGAACCAACGACATCCACAATATATATATATATATATATATATATATATATATATATATATATTGTCGAGATTGAAAAAATCTACGATATATTGTGGACTAATCCCATCCACAACCAACCAAACACTGGCCACCCGGTAGCATAAACCAAAATGGGCCATCAAGGATATAACAGCGGTTAAGAATACCACCTTAATTGTTACACATGGGCAGGACAACGAATCCTCACCTCATCAAGATTAAGGTATTTGACCAATCAATACCAACCACGTCATTTAATTTAACATCCAATGAGATGCAGAAACAATTACACAAGGGTCCAAATCCAGAGAGGAAGAAGAAAGAATATTAATCCGCAGGGATTTAGATATTAAAAAGAAAAAAAAATTGTCTTTTGGGCTACAACCTGAACTGCCCTATTTCCTACCAGTTTTTTTTAATATAACATCCAAAATATCTAGATGTTGCGAGAATAGGGAATAGAAATAGGTTGGTTGCCGTCAAGGCCATAATAGTCAAGTGACTATCCAATTAAAAAAAGATGATAGCTTGCCAACCCATGAATAAAAAAACCCATGCATACTTAGTTTTCAAAGACATAACCATGATTTTTCAAATTTGCATACAAGGAATCGCTTTAGAAAATCTTGTGGTGGGGTTTCCATAACCTCACCCTCCAATTGATTTGACTACCTTAGAAATGTGTTCTTCAAAGTTAATTGTTTTTTTATTGTCGGTTCCAAAAACAAATTAAAATCATATGAAACTGTTTTTTAACACTGCATGCACAAGAGAATGGAAAATATGTTCTTGACTGTAATTGAGTTTTTCCCCTAAAACTGAAAATCATCATTTTGCTTGTTCTTTTATGTATTAATCATTTTACAGTATAGCATTACATCAACAACCTCAACTAATTACATAATTCTTTTTCGAATTAGGATCTGTTCCTCACAAGGCATGTCTCAGACCGTTCTCACATCCATATCCCACCCTGTATTGGGAACATCTGCATATGAATAATAAATACAAGTACGGAAGATGTTCCTAATGTGCAGCTAGGACGTGTTGTGAGATCGGTGTTAGGCATGCTCTATGAAGAGCAGATCCAGACTCTTCTTTTTTCTTACAAGGATGATAATAGTGGGTTTTGAAACTGCACCACCACTGGGACAATTCATCCAGCACACCAACTGGACTACCCCTTAGTTGGTAACGTCATTTTGTTTTAAATCATACAATATGTATCATCATGTTTCATGAATAATACAATATCCAACATTGTTTTTGTTTTAAAAGCTATCACTTTGATGGATTCAAAAACAAGGTTTTTTTTCTAAATGAAACAACTTTTATTTGTTTCGTATTATTTTTGTTTTTTTCTAATGTGATGATTTCAAAAGCAAATGAAAAAAAAAAAAAACAGTTGTAGATCAACACCCCTTTAGGGTATTTGATATTATGGAAGATGCATTGGGTTTGTACTTATTTTTAGCATTAGAAATTGGGGGGAAAAATGTTTGGACAAATTACAATGTTACAATCTATATAAATATATTAAGCTGAAATGTGTAGGTAAGAAGGCATGAGGATGAGGGAAATGAATCTAACATTATTTTTTGCCTTTTTTTCATAGAAAATACAAGAATGCCACTCTCTACCAACTCTCTCTCTCTCTCTCTCTCTTGCTTTTTTTTTTCTTTCAAATTGCAAGAATGTCACTCTCTCCTATCAACTCTCTCACTCTCTCTCTTTTGTTTTTTTCCTTTCATCTATCTCTTTCCTTATAAATTACAAGAATGCCACTCTCTCTCCAACTAAGGGAGACCTCAACTCGGCATCTCGACTATTAGGGGACCTACAATCAAAGATAGTCGAGTTTGAGCCGAGACAAGCTCGAACTTCTGAGGTCAAGCTCAAGTCTCTAATTCGAATCGAGCTCGAACTAGACGACACCTCGACCACTAAGGGAGACCTCGGCTTGATACCTCGGTCACTGAGGGAGATCTCGGCTTAGCACCTCAACAACTGAGGGACACCTCAGCTCAGCACCTTGTCAACTAAGGGAGACCTTAACTACCTCGCCTACTAGAGAAACCTCAACTTGACACTTTAGCAACTGAGGGAGACCTTGATTTGGCACCTCAGAAATTGAGGGAAACCTCAACTCGGCACCTTGACTGCTTGAGAGACCTACAATCAAATGTAGATGAGCTCGAACTTCTGAGCTATTGACTCGAGCCAAGCTCGAGCTCGAGTTCAAATCTCTAATTCGAATTGAGCTCAAGCCTGATAGTTTATGAGTGAGCCCTTGCAACGCAGAGCCCCCTCTGCTAGTATATTTATTATTGTTTAATAGATATAAGTGCCACTAGCAACATTCATGTGTTGCATAGGACAAAACGCCCCCTTTGAAACATCTAAGGTGATATGTTATCATTGTTGTTTTCTCATATAATGGACACGGTTTGGAATTAGTAATGTAACTTCAAGTTTTATTCATATTTTTTGTTGTTATTTGGTACCAGCTAGGGCACATAGAAACAAGATGAAAACAATGTTTTTATTGCACAAAATATCAAAATGACATTTTCTCTAAAACTTGCTTTTATAAAATCGAAGGCATTCAGTGTTGCTAGAAATAACTTGAAAATGCTCAATCAAATAAAAAAAAAGTGAGGGAGAGGGTGATATGCCTACATGGAAGAAACACATTGGAAAAACGAATCCAGTACTAAAACACCGAATTGGGATCTGTTCCTCGCAAGGGACTCCTCACTTGGACCTCACAATCACATCCCACCGTGTATTGGAAACATCTCCCATGAATAATGACATATGAATACTAGAGATGCTCTCGATATGTGGCTGGAACATCCTATGAGGTCTGTGTGAGGAGCAGAACCAAACTCCCAAACACGAGTCAGCGTTCTGTGCACCCGTGAGTGCATTGGACGCGTGAACCTGCCGACAAAAAATGCCATGTCGGCCTATTTAAAATTTACTAACGTTAATGACCCTTTACCGTTAGTTGAAAGAATCCGGTTGAATTGGACACAAAAGAACAAAAAACTGAAAACACACCTTAAAACATGATTGAACAGTACCTTCGGTATTACTGTTCTCCTCTCCTCCTTCCTCTTTCCCTCTTGTTTTGCCTAGTCCGCATTCTGTGCACCTGCACTGGACACGTGAACCCGCCAATCGTCTTCAACCACATCATCCATCCAAACATTAACGGTCAAGTGCACATTAACGTGGGTTCGGCGGTTCAACCAGGGGAGATGCTAGGTCAATGGTGGAAGTTGTTCGGAAACCGAAAGGCCGACCACTTGGGTCGAAGAACAAACCCAAGCCACCAATCGTTATTACTAGAGGCAGCGACTACGCCATGTTTAGAGGGACTGTTGTAGAAGGTCACTGTTTCATCTTCCTCTGTGAAATCATCTTCGTTTACTATCTCTCTTGCAAGAGGTCACGGGTAGGTGTTTGGAGGGATTGTTGCAGGGTTGCTCATCACTTGGAGCATTGTAGTTCTAGTTGTACCATCTTTTATTAACCCTACTTTCCACCATCTTCTTTTTTGGTGAAGACGAAGAAAGCAAGGATGTTAAAGCTAGTAACATGGTGGGTGGAAGCGATTCTTGCACGAGTAGCATGTCCATGTCTATTTACAGTGTTGCAGCTCCGAGCCCTTTGAATTACTAGATCATCACCCCTGAAGTCTTGCCGTGGCCTCCCACCTCATCTCCTCCATACTGAAATCTGATATACATTATAGAAGAGAGGAATTCTGAGATGCGCATCTCCAGATTTCCTCAATTTTGGTTTGAATCTATGATTGATTGCAGTTATTTCTATTCTAACTCTCTCTCAGAAACTATTCCCTCTTAGTTGGTTTGGTCGTGTCAGTGTTGCAACCACCTTGCAATCCTCTTTTTTCTGTTATTTTCCTTTCAGGTATTCTCAGTTCTCATGGCTATTTCTTGTGGGTTTCCAAGTGCTTCTTGTTTTTTCTGTGTCTTTCAATTAGCCCATTCCTAAGGTTTTCAAGGTCTTCTTTGCTTAAAACCTCAGCCTGGTTTGAAAGCTGAAAGATGAGTCAAGAGTATCGCAGAATAACTTTTTTTACAAGAAGTGCTCTATCTCTTTTTTCTTTTGAAAAATTCTTTCACTGAAGGAATCATGATGAAAATTCAGAGAGAGGGAAAGATTTTCATTATGGGTTTTCATGATAGTGAATAATGATGAAAATTTTCCATCAAGATGAAAACTTCTTTGCCGACGGAGCTATCCTTGTCATTGCCGATGGAGGGAGGGTTCCGTGGAAGGAGGAAAACTTCTAGGAGAAAAATCTCGCAATATGAGGTTTGGGGGACTTTTGATGCACCCATAGGTCATGTTGTGGCTGGTTCATGCTCGATTGAACCGTCAAACCCACGTTAACGTGCATTTAACCATTAACGTTTGGATAGACAACGTGGTCGAAAACGATTGGCGGTTTCACGCGTCCATTGCACAAAACGCGGAATCTGTTTTCACCGCCACCCCCACCCTCACTCTCTTCCTTTCCTTCCTTGTTGCCATTATTCTCCTTTTTTCTCCCCGTTGCCACTCTCTGCCTTTTCTCATCGGCTTTCGCCGCCGCTTCTTCTGCCGGCTTTTCCCCCTCTTCTTTCTTTTCGCTGACATGTGCTTCCGGTTGTGATACGATTTGAGCCTGCTTTTTGGTCCTTCTGTATATATAGTCGACGAGGTGATCAGCATCCATGGTTCCGGTTACTGTCAGTCTGTCACCTTTCTTGTGCTCAACTCTGTCTCCGCTGTTTGCGCCCTAATTAAGCCACATAATATATAATATGATCAAAATGAGATTGTAGAAGTACAAGTTAAGAAGAAGAAGTAGAACCAACCCAGCAAAAAATAAAAAATAAAAAAAAAAAAACTGAAAAAGAAATTCTTTTATCTATTACTTGCAATGTGATATGAGCATAAACCCATGCACCTCTCATTTTGAGTATCTTTCTCTTCAATTGCTCGGCACAGGCCTTGCAATGCATGCTTACATTCAGTTCTACCGTCGTCAATCCACTAACCTGATGAATGATGAAACAAGCAAATTAAGATACCTGGGGGATGGGATTGCCAAGCGGCAAAAGAGAAATGTTGTTTTTGTTTTTCATCTTCAACACTTCTAAGTAAAGAAAAACAAAGATACCTGGGATTGCAAGGTAACAACTTCTGACACAGGCTCTTCCTCAGCTTTAGGTAACAGGGACAGGATCTTGGCTCTTCTCTTGGTCCTTTTTGGTATTCTGGTGCACACAGCTTGGGGCTCTACTATCCATAATTCTTCAACTCCTGTCCAATGCCCAACACTCAATCAAAATGTATTAACTAGAGACAGAATTTATATAATTAATATTGGACAATCTGGGCGGGAAAACGCAAAAAGAACATCCTACAAAATGCAAGTCTACAAATAAAATTACAGATGATAGTGTTAGTCTCCTCTTTCTTTTCTTCGGCATTCTCACTTTTCTTCTTCTTTCTTCTCCTCTGCTTTGCCTTCTTCTTTCCCAATGTCAAGAGCAAGAGAAAATCAGAATCAATTAGCATTAATCAAGTAAAGACCAACGTTATGTACACATCCCAGACAAATTAAACAAGGAACCACATTACCATTTTGTCTCTTCGCCCATTTCCTCTGTGAACACAGATTAGAAACTAAGACCACAACAGACAACACCCAATTAAAAGAGAGATGGATTTATTGTTTTCTTTATCATCACCAAACCCACATTCGGGTGTCAAGGTCTTTCAAGGAGGAGGAGGAAGAGAACACATCAACTTGATTTCGTGCCGCCACCAGTGGCTTCTGCATTCAGTGAGATCGCGGGTCACAGTGTGTTTTAAGTTTTTTGTGTCCAGTGCAACCGGATTCTTTTTGTGCCTTTTTGTGTCCGTTGAAGTTATTGAATTTTGAACCTACGATCGTGGATGTAACCCACCGGTGCACAGAATACGGACTCCCCAAACACCACCTAAATTGTATTTCCTCCAAAAATGACTTTTACATAATCCAAGGTAAATAATGGTACAAATGATTTTACGAGAATCAACACAATTAAATAGGATTATGGATTGGTAAAATCAAAACACCTATATAGCACTTGTGTGCTGGCAAAACAAATCCGCAACATCACAATACCAAACACCACCCGGTACCATGCCTGTTTCTACTTGAAATGCTTTGCATTGATCAATACACATTGGTGAAAGAAGAGGTAATATCAGAACAAGTGGTTTATAAATTCAAACTGATTTGAACACAATTAACAACTGGAAATTAAGACTCAGTTTGGAAGGAGCGTAAATGCAAATATGTAGAGTGCAAAACCTTTTGTTTTGTATGTGTTTGTATTTGTACTCCAGTTATGCGGATTTGATCCTGCGCCTTCTTTGAGTAACTATGATTTTACCACCCTTATCAGACATGGGATGGCCTAAGTCCCTCCTTTTTTTTTTCTTCTGATGTGCTTTCTTATTACCATAGTTCCAACACAACTCAATTCAATAGAAATAGGGTATTGAGCTTCAAAAATTGAACAAAGTTAACCATTTGGGATCTATGATTCTTTTCTCTCTCTCTCTCTGTTTTCTTAATTGTCAATTCGGCCTTTCATAGATAATTATGGGTGGATAAACCGTAACTTTGAATCCACTCACAATTCTATTTATAAGTTCCAAACACACTATTTTTGCAATTGCACTGTAAAATTTGCAAGAAGAAATATCCAAGGCCTTGGCCCTATAGTTTGAGGGTCATGGCAGATGAAGAGCACCTAGTTTACTTCCATGTATATCAATGGAGTCCGGATCTCCAACTTAATGGAGTAGGTCCAGATTTAAGGGGACTCTGGCGTCCAAAAAGAATTTCAGAATTCTAAATTTCAATTTAGATTTTTTAAAGAACCATTCAACCTAAAAGCTTAGGGTGTTAAGTGAGGTCATTGAATATGTTTCATTTTCTAATATAATCCCTCACATGAAAGCCCATTGGGTTTGAAGCATGGACAGCAAAGGCCCACTCCTATCTTGTGCTGAAACTTAATAAATTATAATGGGGGTGATGAGAATCAAACAATAGACCCTTTGGCAAAAATGACTCTAATACCATCTCAAAGAACCAGTCAACCTAAAAGCTTAAACAGTTAAATGAGGTCCTTAAATAGATTTTATTCTCTAATAGGATTGCATTTGAAATCACCCTTGTAAAATATAAACCAGATTCTGGAAACCATTTCCACAGTACGGTTCTACTTTTGCTTCGAATGTAACCTTGCTTAATAACAAGCTTTCATGTATTCACATACTGCAAGGTTTTAATTCCGTGAAATTCTTCGACACTATGGAAATCTCGGCATACACAACTTGTTGAGTGGAAATATCAACATCCAAAATAAGCTACCTTACCATACCGTCCGTAGCGAGCTTGAGAAGCATACAAGGAACATTGAAGCCAAGTAGCTGAGCCACCCAGCAGTTTTTTTTAGTGTACCTTATTTTAATTCAAAGTTCCAGCCTTCCGTTAGGTGAGATTGAGGGGAGAGGATAAGAAAGAAAGGCAAAAGAAAAAGGTGCGGTTTTCCGGTTTCCATCAGAGTCCATATCTCCTGCCCAGTGCCCACACCTACCTACATGAGATTGTAATCACACATGAGGAATATTTCACGCTCTTACCTGTTTGGGAGATATTCCCAATGGAGAGGTAGTGTATTGACTATTGTGGGTCAGTGTGAATAGAGTTTTGTGGGTATTCATCAACCCTCAAAAATTTTGAAAATTTAATTTATATATATTAAAACTGATTCTGCCATGTCAGCATATCTCTCTTTTGAGAGAAGTTATTTATCTATTTTTCCGTTTTTTTATTTTTTCTTATTTTCTTTTGTTCTAACAATATAAAATAGTAATCATTGCTTATCTTGATTAGATTAAATAATAATCTCTTCTCCTAAAATTTCTCCTAAACTACTTCCTCCACTTTCTCTAAAATTATCTCTAACTAGCGGGGACCTGTGCGATGCACGGAAAAGTCTGAAAGATTTAATAATTTTATTTAATATTAATTAATATTAAATTAATAATCAAATTTTTTTGTTAATTAACCAAAATTATTCAAAGTTAGTGTTAATATCTAAAATTTTAATAATTGTATTTTTATTTAATGTTGATTTACAAAAAATAATTATTGTTAATTTAATATGAACAAATTTTGGTAATTTACTAACTGTACTAATAAGAATATTTTTGTTATAACTTATTTATTAAATTACCAAAGTTTAATAAATATTTTTGTTATAACTTATTGTTTATAAGACTATTAGTTTAGCTGAAATTATGAGTGTTCATGAGTTGATTCAGTTCGGTAGGCTATTTGGCCAACCAAATTGGCCTGGACAGGTTAGGGAGTTGGTCAACTGAAACCGACTAACCTTTTTTGAAAATCAACCCACTCAAGTTGTATCAGTTTGGGTCAATTTTTTGGTTTGGTTAGTCTGTTCAAAAGATTTAAATAATAAATTTAGAAATTAGATTTATGATATAAAACATTTTAGACTAAGAAATATAGGAAATTTCCCACTTTTCTATATTAAAAATTATATTTAAAATATAAAATATTAATATATATCCATGATTAGGCCGTTCGATTTTGGTCGGTTTACAAATGGCCAAAGTAAAACTAATCCAACTTGGTCAAATTGGGAAATTTTTGAACAAAAGCCAACCTAAAATACTAAAAAGCTAACCAACTTGGGTCGAGTTAATCGGATTGGTCGGTTTCATCAATTTGATAAATAAACCTAATTGAAATTAATTATTGTTACTTTTGTATTATAAAAAATTTATTAAAAGTAGTATATAAAATATGAATAATTATTAATTATTTAAAAAGTTGAAAATATAAAACAATTGTATAGTCTTATGTGTTTCTATTAGGGTCATTTATTAGAACACACTTTTAGGGATGGCAATTTTCCCCATCGTAACGGGAACTTAACTTACTTGACCTGATGGGGCTAGGGATGGGGATTGTTTTGGCGGGGTGGGGGCGGGGATGGGGATTAATAGGAATCCCCGATCGAGGTCGAGGATGGGGATTGAGGTTCTTGCCCCACCCCGACCCCGATTATATATATTAAATGTTATTTATATTAAATATACTATTACATTATTTATATTAAATGTATATATATATATATCAAAACATATTTAAAACATTATTTATAATTTAAATTTTGATTTATTTTAAAAAAATACTATTATCTGAAAACATTTTGGGAATTCGGGTCCCCATAGGGAACCCATCCCTGTTAGGGATCGGAGATGGGGGTTAATTTTAGAATTGGGGTCGGGGACGGAGAATATGATCCCCACCCTATTGCCATTCCTACACACCTTATAGTTTTACATATTTACTTAAACCTATCTTATAGTTTTCATTTTACTAAAATATCCCATATATTTTACAACTTATTTACTTAATCAACATTTCATTAAGGAGTGTTTGTTTCGCCATTAGGCCCATGATTTTTTATTCCAAAAACACCCGTAACACTTTTTTATATAAAAAACAAAATTAACCAAATATAGCCAATAGAGTGGTTGTCGTGTCTTATTAAGGACAAAAATAGTATTTTTATTTTATTTTTATTTTTTTACTAAATTTATTTAAATAAACTTTAGGGTCAACACTATCATTTTCTAATGTCATCTAATGGAAGATTGATTAAATCCATTGTAAATTATAAGTAATGTTTTAGTAAAATACTAACTATATGATTGATTTTAGTAAATTCATGAAACTATGAGAGGTATTTTTGTATATGTCCATTTCTATTATTTACCTTTTTCTTAATAAATTGAGTCCCTGCTAGTAAAAAAATAAAGTTATTCAACTAAGGGGTATGTCGTGGCATCAGACTGTACACTCTACGCATGCCAGAGTGGGCAGCGAAAGCTTCCCCAAATAACAGTGTCCCCCACTGGCCACTAACCACTGGTGAGTCATCACTGGTTCAATTTGCCTAAAAGCAATTGGCTACGTGGAAAATCAGGAGCGTTTGGGCAAATAAATAAGGCACCATACTCCCGTATATTATCCCTACCCTGGCCCCAATTTTCAAGCAAATAATAATCAAGGTTTTAAAAATTAGACCGGTTAACCTGTTTTGGTTTAAAAAATTAAAAAATAATAATTAAAATAAAAAACAGCCAAAATCATTGTTCGAGTAGACGGTTCAACCACCCGAATCAGCAGGTCGCTGATCAAAACAATGGTTTTTGGCCCAGGAGCAGTTTTTGGCAGAAACGGAACCAGATGGAAGCCAGTTTCTGAGTCAACCGGTCTGACCATCTGGTCCTGTCCGGTTTTCAAAACCATGCGAATAACCCACCACGTTTTCCACAATGAAATTTTGTAAAACAGAGAGTTACCCAAGTTTTGGATGATATATGCCCCATCCCCAACCTCTATCCTAACAGACATTTTTAATTTTTTTGCTTCATGGGGATTATTTACTACACAGGAGGACGAGGATCACTAACCTGTCCTCCACTGCTGGTGACAGCGGGATTTGATCCCAATTCTCCACACCACATCCAGCCAGAGATCTTATCAACTGAGCTAATTGGCACACCTCTAATACGAAATTCAGATTTGAATTGGATAAGATTGGGAGTTGGGATTGTTTAGGGAATCCATATGATTCATATGGGAAATGGATGAAAAATACCTCTCTCTCTCTCTCTCAAATTCTTTTACGCCTAAATCATTCCACCCCCAACGTTGCACTGTCAATTATTGGCAGGATCATTGATTGAATTTGTAGAATTGAGTGAACATAAAAATCCAACCTTGTAATATATGTATCAAATTGAACACATCAGTATGATCTCTGCCAGAAACACGGCATTAATCCGACCATTTCTAGGAAAAATAGATATTTACAGAAAAATGTTTAGACTGAAATCACTGAAAACAGATGGTAACAATGTTCTGAACATCGCCCACAACTTTTTTACTACAGTGCCCCACAAAGAATGATCTGGCTCCTAGGGAAACATAAGATTCAAAATCAAAACAGAAGAAAATGAAGAAAAGAGAAAATAGACAGACATAGAAAAACACAGTAGAACTCTCCCACTTCTATTTTTGGATTGCCTACCATCCCCCTATCATTGCTCTATTTGCATAAACTGATTAAGCTCTTCAGAAATTGAAGGATTTGATTGTATTTCATTCTTCTCTGCAAGAATTTTAACAAATCCTTGTGGAACCAAGCACTTCTCCTCCAAATACAGCTTCTCTTGGATTGCTCGAGAACCAAGAATCTGGAGTTCTTTTACATCACGTTGATCCTTACTGGTTTCCTACAGACAAGCACCAGACGACCATGGCCTATGTTAGTCACCAATATGATCACCAACTAAAGGAAAACAAATACAAAGTAGATGGCTAGCGTTGGTGTAAGTTATGTTACCTGCATCAAACCCATTACTTCAAGTATTCCTACTTGGGCCTGTAAAAACTTCACATACTTGAATGCAGCTGCAAACATGTCAGCTGTGTTCATCTTATTAACACCTGGAATAAGCTTCTCAAGCTCTTGAGTTTTCTCAATGATCTTTCTTCTCCTCTGCCGAGCAGCTATACTCTGTGCTGATAGACTCCTCTCATTTACTTTCTTCGCGCTGTGAACTTCCCTACTCGAATAAGCTGGTGGAACCTGAATCTCTGTGGATGGAAGCAACAAATGGTCGGGCAAGAACTCGAGCACAGAGCGAGAACTCGGAACAAACCCATCGAAGCAATTGAGCATCCCATCTGAGTAATAGAAATCACCATTGGTCTTCTGACGTTTCGAGTGATGACACTGGTATTGGCAGCACAAATCACAGCTATTGGGTAGAATGATTTCTGGAGAGATGGAAACTAGAGGATCAGAAAAGCAAGATGAGTAGTATGGTGGGAGGAGATTGTCATGGTTCGGGGTGCATAAAAAGTCATCGAGCTCAGGCAATGGATCACAGAACGTGCTTGTAGAGATGATACTATCACAGAAGCCGAGGGTCTCGCTTTCTAGCTCTGGCTGTTCTTGTTGAAAACCATACATCTCTGAATAAAAATTCTGGAGTGGCCCCCAACTAGAGCAAAAACTCAAGGCCATTAAAATTGAACTCTGCAGAAGAGGCAGTACAGACTAGATTAATCGAGAACTGAAATCATCAAGAAAGCAGAGAGATTTTTGTTCTATTTTACTGTCTCATTCTCGTTGTAGTTCATGGAATGTGTTGTTTGCAACAAGTAAAAACAACCTTCAACAAGAAGAAAACATTTCTACTTGCAAAAATCATTAGAACGATATTAATAATTGCGTTGCTTGGAAAATCTGATGAAGTAAAGCAGAGTTGAATGTAATAGCAAACAGAAAAGAACATAAATGTCAGAGATAATTTATGGTTTGATAAAAACACAGAGGATAAACGTGAGAGATGGGTTAGTGGTATATTTGCATGTAATAATACATGTAAGAGAGAGAGAGAGAGAGAGGGCTGTAGAATTTACTGCTAAGTACTGAGAAAACGCTGTCCAAGGAATGCTGTAGATTGTACTGCTGTCGTGTGTTTGTCGAATCAGAATAGACTATTTTGTTTTTTTTTGGTAACGAATCAGAATAGACTAGATCTCATCAAAACCAAACTACTTAAACTGAAGCTTGATACTGCTATTGACCCGTGAAGACGACACACGACACATGCAGATAGGAGAGGTGGGGGAGGTGGGGTAGTAGATAATTCAGGTGTGGATGAGGCTTGGAACGGCTAACTACTTCCGAGTAAATAGGAATTAGGATGGATGATTGGAATTGGATGAGGCGAGGTCATCTTAATTTTTGGGTTAATGCTCAAGACCATTAGGTCCATTGATACCTTTTGTTTGGGCTTTGGCCTTTGGCGCTGCTTTCGCACTCCTACTTCCCTTAGGGCTTAGGCCCACTGTTGTCCCATCCCAAAAAGAAAATATGACAAGCCTCAAGCATTTGACAAGAACACAATTACCAAACCCTACAACAAATACAATTGGGCCATGAGTAGCAATCGTTTGATCATGCTGGCCCACATCATCAATTTAATACCAGATTATGTTGTAGTTGGATACTTGGATAATGCCCATCATCATCATCATCACTTGGTTCCCCCAAGATCTGTTCAGTATAACTTATAACCATATGTAATTGCAAGTGCCCGTTTGGGAGGGCTTTCACACGGCGGTTTCTGACTTTGAGAGGTGTGAGATGCATCTAAGCCATGTTTGATGAAAAACCCCGGATAGGCGAAAATGACTGTCTAAATGCTAAAAAGTAAAAAACATGGTTTTTTCCGCTTAAGCTTCTTTCAATGATTTCTCCAAAGCTGTTCAAGCAACGCAACGCTTCAGTCCCTCCCAAACAGGCCCTAAAATTCGGGTATAAACGCACGGGGCTAGGCTTGTAATTCAGATCCTGAATCGAGGGCATCTTAATAAATTTACACAGTAATTTGTAATTAGCGAGGAATTGGTGCATAATAGAATGAAGTCATGAACCACGTTTGGTAACGGAAACGGTCAAGGGAATGTGTTTGAAACGGTCACATTCCATACACCGCCTCTCCTAGCAGTTAACTAACGTCCACGTGCCCCCACACGATACACATCCGTCGTTGTTCGCGCCAAATATTTTGCCTGTTTCCGATTTACTCAGGGAAGTTACCGCTCGCCACGGTGCTTGATTGCGTGTCCCACAATCCGCGGGAAGCGGTTGAATGATGAGAAGCTGGGAACGGGACCCAGCATTAGGTGGATCCCGCCCTCATCACTAATTAGCTATTCAGTCTGTCATCGCTCTAGTCAGCGATTCAGCATTTTCTCCACTGAATATTTCAACTTATTTCTGAATCTAGAGGGATTCCATAGTTTATACAACTGCAATTAGGGCTGTTCATAAGAAGACCCAGCCCGACCAAATCGATCAACCTGGACCGGCCCAATTCAAGTCGGCCGGGTTTTCTTTAGCATCGGTCGGTTTCGGGTTATAAAAAATCATAAACCGATGATTCGGTTCAGTTTCGATTTTCATGTGTGAAAACTGAAACCAATCCGACCCGAATCGACTTAGTAGTTAGTTCCTAGTTAGTAGTTACAACCTACTTAGTTCCTACTTAACTAAGTTGTTTCTATCCTAGTTACAACCTAACTTAATTTCTAGTCTTCTACTTAGGAATGACATTAATGGCAAGTATTGTAAGACAATGAATCTCTAGTCCTACTCCCTACACCTTTCCTCCTTTAAATGATAGCTTCTTGAATTTTTTAAAAAAGTTTAAAGAAAAGAATCAAATGATCCTAATTTCTAAGGTCTTTTACACCAAATAGGCAACCAATTACAATTAGAATTAGGTGTCATTTTCTAAGGCTTCTTCAAATATACAAATTTCAATCTTCTTTCTCTAATACAATTTGACTTTCTATTTTTTTGATAACTTCTAACTTGGTCCGCCCCCCTTAGCCCCTCAAACTCTGCTCCCTCCACAACTAGATCCATGGATGGGCCATAAAACATTAAGGAAATGTCGGTTTCCTTTGGGAATGTAGAACCAGAAATTAACACTTGAATAGCAATTGAGTCACCACTAAGTAGAGCCCAAACCGACCCAAACCAACTCAAACCGATTAGGTCGGTTTTGCTTAACATATGGTCGGTTTCGGTTTCAATTTCAGGTAACCCGACCAGGTCGGGTCGGTTGGAAAAACATTAGTAAACCAACCCAACCGGACCCGTGAACAGCCCTAAGTGCAATAACACCGACTAGACCCAAAAAAAAGTTGACCCAACCCACAAACCTGACCTAACTCAACCTGAAAAAATAGGGCTAGGGTCCCATATTTAGTTACTTGAATGTAAGAATGACCCGACCCGACCTAGAAAAAACTAGATTGGATTGGGTTGAGTCATGGATCAACCTGTTACCCGATTGTCAAGTCCAATTAAGATTATTTATGCATTGTTAGAAGTGTCTTGACCCAACCTGAACTCGACCCACCCAACCCAATTGCCAGGTCTAACACCAACGGAAATCAATAATAATTTTAAGAATTTTGTGGGGATCTTGTGGGAGGATATGGTGATCATGGTCAGGCTGGGCCGGACCCAGCTTAGCACTTAATATAAGGGATTAATCTAGGCCTAGGCCTAGTTGTGCCTAGGGGTGTCAATTGGAATGGATTTGGTCCAATCCGATCCATTCCAATGTAAATCCATTATAAATGGATCATGTCCAATCCAATCTAATGAATATTTTGAACCATTTTGGATCAATCCAAATCAATGTCTTAATCGTTTAATCTGTTCAAATTCATTCTGATTTAGATTGATTTCAGCTCAAACTCAGATTATTCATATCTATATACTTATTTTATACCAGTGGACCAGATATTAGTTTAATCCAACCCAATCTAATATAAATTTATTATAGATGGAATATGCCCAATCCAATCTAATAAATATTTTGGACCAGATTGGTCCAATCCAATATGTCTTGCCAGTCCATCCAATCCATCTAAATTGATTTTGGACTAGACAGATCTAATCCAAAACCGGTTCATTGACACCCTTAATTGCGCGTGTATCCGAGCCTCAACTATAGGGCCTAGGCCCGACCCAACACTAATTTTATGGGTGGTAATACCAGATCCAAGCCGTGTTGTTCTTTAATCCACCCATTTAAAATCTGTTCCAATCTGTCCATTTATTTGGAGGATTGGAAATGGACTGAATCGCCCAATGTGTTACAGTTCGTGGTTCTAGAAAAGGATTGGGTGGTATAATATAAATTTCATATCTATAAATTCTAAAAAAGGGTGGTATAATATAAAATTCATATCGATTTTTATAGCCGTACTCATACTGTTTACCGTCTTTACAATGGGAATATCTCTCCATGAAAAAAATATGAATATAGAGATATTCTTAATGCACGACTATAAAAAGCTGTACAATCGGTGTAAACAGTCTTGTAACCACTGAAGCTGATCTCCCACATGATAAAAAAAAATAGAATGTTCTATGCATGGTTCTCATTTTTTGAACCGTGAGCTTTGGTTGTATAATTTATTTGTATATATACCTTTTTTAAAGAAAGAAAGAGTGTGTATATATACATTCACTATCATTTTTTATGGAATGGTGATTTGAATCATCAAATGAAGATATTATGATGGAAGTTGATGAGGGGGGATTTGGCCCTTCAATGATATTGTGATACATGGCATTTCAGAACAATTAGGTGACATCCGGAATCATTTTGGTAACAGCTTGCCTTAGCTAAGTTGAAGGTGTCCCACCTGGCGGCCTGGCCTTAACGCAACCTGGCGGCCTAGCCCTAGCGCGAGCTAGCAGTCCAGCACAGGCATGACCTAGCGGCCTGGCCCAGGTGCGATTTGGCGACTGGCACATGCACCAACTTGGCAACTTGTAAGACGTGCTCGCCGACGAATTCGGCATGCATATCTAAACACTCCCACGATCCTTGGAAGTTGGCCCACGTGCCAAACGATTCGAAGGGTGGTCAACGTGCATGGCGGTTACCTCCAGGAATCTCGACCATTTAGACGACCTCGTAGAAATCTCGAATATGGTGCGTGAAACCCATGCCAAACAATGCCTATATAAAGGCACCAACCCCAATGGCAAGGGGGCAAGTAAAAAAGTAAGCAAGTAAGAAAATTCTAGCTCTCATACTATGTGATTTTTAGCTCACAGTCTACTATGAGAGTACTGATTTAAGCATCGGAGCGACCTCGTCGAGTTAGCCACCCCGGGTCTTTTGACATTTGGTTCCTTGCAGGTCTATAAAGAGCAACGAAGCTCATCAATCCAGCTCGCCAGCTGGGCAGCTCGGCACCTAGGTAGCTTGGCACATCACAGGCAGCTCGGCACCTAGACAGCTCCACTTCGGCCTTCGAGTCATCGGCCACTTGAAAACAGACCAAATGACGAGATATTTAGCTAAAAAATCGATACATCAACAAAAATTGATTCATCAGGAATTATATTTGTTTATGAAACACAATATA